CTCATCTTGATCAGATTCTGCTTCTGACTCTTCTTCTACATTTTTGAGAGAAATCCCTTTCGTCTTCTTGTTCATCTCTTCTTTGTATTGTAAAAGAGTGCGCTCATGCTCTTCTAAGCTTCCAAAGAGTACTACTATAGATCTCATTGAGACTCCTTGAGCTTTAGTGGTTGCTATGATTTTGGGTTCCTACTCCATTAAGACTTTTGAGTAGTTTCCTTACTTGTTTGGTTTGGGTATATGTCTTTCCCAAATTCATCAGGTGGTTGATGATATGCGTGAATCTGATTTGCATATCCTTGATGGTTTCTTCATCTTTCATCTTGAAAGTTTCATGCCCATGTATAAGACTACTCTTTCTATTCTCTTACTCTATCAATTCCTTCATGAGCTTGCCTTAAAGTATCCCACATCTCCTTAGTCATTGTATAATAGGTGACATGATAATATTCGGCATGATTGAAAACACAGGCTATTGTGAGCTTAGCCTTGGCATTATAATTGACTACATGCTTATCCTTATTAATCTATTCATCTTTTTCTCTTCTCTCTGACTAGCCCATCACCTTCAACTATCATTAGAACATATAGGCCTTTGGTGATGATGTCAATCATTTTTATATTGAAAGCTTTGAGATACATCATCATTTGGCTTTTCTAGAATGGATAGTCCTCACCCTTGAAGGTTGATGGTCTAGTTGTGGACAATCTTTCTTTAAGGTTATCATCTATAAAATTAAACATTAGTAGGATCTTTATACCCTGATGGTTAAGTTAAATTTAAGCAACCTTGCTTTGATACCAATTGAAAGCCTGCCTAAGAGGGGGTGAATTGGGTTTACTAAAAATTTAACTAATTTTAAATAAATTTAAAGAGATTAATTTAGAAAGATATCACTAATCATATTAAAGAGTAAGGAAGAGAAGCTTTCTCATATCACTTATCCTGGTTCAGCTCTAACCACGTGAGCCTATGTCCAGTCCCCAAGTACCACTTGAGATTTTATCCACTAACTTCACCGAGATTAATTCAAGCTCTTGGTAGCCTTAGTACAATCCCAAAATTATACTAAAGTTTGAACTACTTCCCTTTATAAAGGTAATGATTTATCGCTCTTAAGCTCCCCAAATTTAAGATCCACTGTTTCAAAAATAGAAAACAATGAAAAGCAAAGTAAGTTCAAGAATGAACTACTTCTGTGAAATATTCTCTATCTAAAAGAGTTGATTTACAATCAATAAAGCTCACTAAAATGAATATAAACTTAGAAAGTTGGTGAAACAATAAATTAAATGGCTCGTGTAACAACTCCATTGTTCGTTCTTGTTCATTGTCTTCATAAATTCATCTTTATATAGGTTCTTCATTAAAAGATCCATTATTCTGATTAGTATATCCATTAGAGTCATTGTCTTCACTCTTCTAAGCTTTCTCCAAAAAAGAGGCAATGGCACAATGTTTTATGGCGAAGTAAGAAAAGTAACGTCTCTTTGCAATAAATGTTTTGACAAAGTTAGGTAAGAGATTATTTTGGAAGAACAAAGCTATTGAAGAATAAGGATTTTTTTGAATAAGAGAAACAAGTGCTTAATCCAACTCAAAGTTGTGTTTAAAATGATTCTAAGATGTTTAAATGACTAACACAACTTATAAAAAGTGAAGGGAATAAGAATTAAGGAAGCCATCGTGAAATTAGCATGAATCTTCATGCATATTTCGGAATAAACAACCTTATTCTAAAATAGTGAAGAATAGCTCAACAAAATTTTTAAAGGTGATTCTATCAAAGTATAGCTCTTGCATTGGAATAAGTTTACACATACCATGAACTAAAGATCTTTATTTGGGAATAAGGGAAGCTATTCTTCAATAAGAGGATGTTTCAAAATGGCATATCAATAAACAACTTTGAAAGAGCAACCACTATTATTGAATAAGGATAGCTATTCCCAAATAAGCTATTTGTAAAGATACAAAAGAGTGGTTACTTAGGAATAAGAATCAAATAATGATAAGCTATTCTGAAATAAAGGAGCCATTCCGGAATAAGGACCTTAATACTGAAAAATTACAAAGGCTTTCAAAAATGGAATTTTTTATCCTAAGATCAATTGACATATCTTTCAAGTAAAACAAAGGAATAGAAAGAAACTTTAATTGGAATAGAAATGAGAATAGTTTAGCTGTTGCTTGGCTATTTGGCAATAAAGGTACTTATTTGGGTATAAAAGTACCTATTTCGGAATAAGACTCTTAAGGGCAACTAATTTCCTTACAAGCCATTAATTCTTAATTAATAAACCTACAATATACAAATTTTTTTTATTTTGTAATCATCAAAACTAGGGTCAAACTTTTATATATTTTTTACTAAAATTTACATGTCCATTATTAAGAAAAATTGTCAAAGTTAATACCTTAACTTGTTATTTCACAAATAGTTACTTGTTAAACTACTATTAGGGACTTGTTAAAAAATTTATTATGCATTGATTTTTTTGTTTTAATAAATGCTTGTTTTTGTTATTGAAATTTTACTTGCAAAAAAGCTTATGTGAACTTTTTATTTTACTAAAATTTACTTGTCAAATTATTAAGGAAAATTATCAAAGTTAGTTATCATTTCACAAATAGTTACTTATTAAATTAATAATATAGACTTGTTAAAAAATTTATTATATGCTGGTTCTTATAAATGTTTTATAAAGTAATTTGATAAGTAAATTTTAGTAAAATAACAAGTTAACATAACCTTTTGACAAGTAAACATTTCATAATAAACACAAGTAAACAAAGCCCATTAGTAAACATTTGACAATAAAAATAAATGAGGGTTAGTTTTGTAATTTCCTAATGAATTTTAATTACATTTTGGTCCCTTGATTCTGCAAAATAATTTTAAAATCATTTTGGCCCTTTTTTGTGAATATGATGCTATAGAGGCGCTTAATTGTGATTTTCCCATCAATATTCTAGAACCATTTCAACTTACGTGTCACATTATTAATTACATTTTATTTCATCAAGTTGTACAATCTAATTAAATAGCTTGTGGGACAAGTAAGCACTTAATTTTAATCTAATAAATAAAATTGCATATGGGGGTGTCATTGTAGCTGGTTTGAATGAGTCAACATTGTTTATGTTAAGGAAGGTCTTATGTTTAAGTTTTGTGTATTCAAATTCCTTTTAAAAAAAAAAGAAAAAAGAAAAAAGAAAGTCGGGTTGCTTAGTTATGAGGCAATTTTTTGTTGTGGATCAGAATTAATTAGTAAATTGAAATCCATGTGAAAAAAAGAAGTTCCATCTTAAAAAAAAAAGGAGGGGGGGTTCTATTTTCTCCTTTCCTGCCCTACCCTCTCTCTCTCTCTATCTCTCACACACACACGCACACACACAGTTCATGTTTTTTATTCTCTTTGTACTTACTTTGATATCAAGTTTTCATAATTTAATATATATGTATGTATAGTATATGGATGATAGTATCACAACCAAAATAAGTAGAGACATATTGTCAAGAAAGAAAAACGTGGATATATAGATTTAGAGCAATAATGAGGTCTCGTGGAATTTTCCTGTTTTCTAATCTTTAAAATAATTTAATCATATATGAGGGAAAATAATTGTCAACTGTCTTGGACTCTGAAAATAATATGTACTGTAACAGCATTTTTATCCTGGATCAAGACAATTAGGGTCAGTTAGAAGAGAGGGTGCTATTATAATGTTTTGCCAGCCTGGATTGACAAGGATAATAACTCAAATCAATCTGGTTGTTGTAATTCACATGCATCTGGCTAGTAGTGACAAAACAGAAGGTTAATTATATTAATCATAGTATACGGATTGGACTCTTCTTTTGTCACGAAATAAAAGTCTTCTTTAAAAAAGACTCTACAAGTCAAGCATAAAAACTAAATAAATAATTTTGATTTAATTTTCGTTTTTTACGAAATAAGTCATTAATCTTAACATGATTATTATTATTAATTAAGTTTTGTTGGAAAAATGTTAGGTGAAGACAATCATTGAGAAACCTAATAATGAATATAAAAATTAACAATTGAACTCAATAATATATTAAAAATGTTAAGAGGGAGAGAAAAATAGAGTATTACATATAACTGCAGGAGAAGTGGAGGCTAGACCTCGAAGATTGAAGAAGTACCACCAATACTATCAGCTCTGTTTGGAGGTTTGCAAATTTTGAGGCTCAAGGGCGTTTCTTGTAAGTTTCATTTATTTGCTGTTCTCTGTGGCCTTTATCATTTGTTCATTTAATCAATAGTATGTAGATGATTTTATGTACACGCTATATTATTTAGTTTCAAAATATCTGTATCAAGAAAATTTAGTGTATTTTTGTTTATAGCATAAGTATTTAAACCTTTTGACACCTTTATTCACACCCTATCTTAACCTTACAACTTGAGCTAGCCTCATATGACAAGCTGAGTTAATGTTATTAATTGAACACGATCCTACTAATTCTAAACAAGCAACACAACGAAGGTTGTTTTAGTGCAGAATTGTTAGAGTATTGCACAGGGATCCAATGGCAGCAGATAACAATGATATTGCCGAACACATATTTTTAGACATCCTCAATCAAGGGGAACCTATGTTATCTCAAGAATGTTGCTGTATCTACAATGTTCCAGAGCTTTTAACGAAGGAAAACAATGATGCCTATTGTAATGACCAAAATTTTAAAATTTAATAATTTTTTTTTCTTTACCCAATTGATATTTAATTTAATTTATTTATTTTAATGTTAGGGAAAATGAGAAATGATAATTTAGTTAAATTTATACTAATTGTCTAAAATTTAGTTGTATTTTGTTTAGGAGAAAGTATTGAGGTGCCTTTGTCTTTGTCTTTTATTATAAAAGATATTAAAAACAAATCTGATGGGGGTTTTTGTTTGTAATTTTTCCACCGACTTTTATATTTTATTTTTCCATCTTCTTTGTCGGTGAGCTACATAGAACAAGAGTGAGAGAGTCGGAGTTAGTCTCGATTTTCCTTCTTTTCCCCCTCACTGTTGGTTCGTTTTCTCTCCCTCATCACCGACTATCCTTCCACCATCATCAGTCACCGGCTATCCTTCCCTCTATCAGCACCGATCATCTTCTGTGGTGTGGGAGTCATCGGATCTTCACCTTGGTCTGCTGCCTTGTTTCCTTTCTGCTCATCTCTTCTACTTCATCCTCGATCTAGCCACCCCTGTCCTTTGCTCTTCAACATGCTGCTGACGAGAACAGGAGCTCCACTTGTCGCTGCTGTGATGTCTTCCCAGAACGACAGCGTTGTGGTGCAAATCGTGAGTCCTTTCCTCCCCTCTTCTGTGTTGAATTTCCTCTTTCTTTTCCTAGATCTGTGTTTGCCGTGAACCTCCATTTTGAGCATGGGTGTCGAAATTTTTCTCCTTCCTCGGATTGTCGTTGCTCTCCCTGGTTGGTGTGTTAGTAGATGCTATTATTAGGCAGAAGCTTAGAATTCTTCTCCTCACTGAATCCCCTACGTGTGCGTGCGTGTGTTTTAATGGCTGACGTTGTAAATCATTTCTCTTGCTAAATCTGTGTGTGTGAGAGGGAGTGATTGGTGTGAAATTTCCATTTTTTTTTCGGTTCAATGTGCTGTGTGAATTTTCTTCTTCCTTTGCTGCACGTGCTTGTCAAAAGGGGGTTGTAGAATTAAGTTGAATTTTAGTCCAATGAAGGTGATTTAGTGTGAGCTTGAGCTGTGTTAAAATTTATATTGATTTTGTTAATGGAATGGACTTGGAAAGTTGACTTATTCATATATTTATGTTGGAAAATTCTTGGAAGGTAGAACCGCATAGGAAGAAGCTTGATGATTATTTGAAGTTTAATGCCCACAAGGTATTTGACAAAATGACCAAGAGGGGTTTTTGTTATATAATGGCATGATATACATATGATGGGTATATTGTTGATTAAATAAATTATCATTAGAAGCTAATTACTCTCTTTGATGGGAGTTGGGAGGTGAAAATTTTAATTATAGATATAAGAAAACATTTGGAAATGGAGTTAATAATGAGAAAAAGCATTTGATTTTATGGTTTAGATATTGAGTATAGAAAGGAAGATTTTGATCTAAAGTGAAAAAATATATACGACAAATATGCCATTATTGATTTAACAATCATGTTAAACATTCATTCTTTACGATGAAAGTTAAAGAAGAAATTAGAGGTTTTTGGGAGAGAAATTTAAGCTAACAATTTAAGAACCAATTTGATATTCATTTTTGGGATATCATTGGGATATTTGATGCAATATTGGAAAAGATAAAAGTGAAGGTTTTCTTTCTTTTATCTCTTTAATTGTTTGGGATTTCAATATTTTGGGTGGTACAGCATGATTGGAGAGGTGATAATGATATTATTTGAATATTAGGAATGTTAGTGCAAAGCATTGACCCTTGAGGACTAGTTTGGGAGTAAGTTATGTACTTGAAAACTTTACAGGTAAGTGGATAACGTCCCAACTGATTTTCTAATAAAATTTGCTTTACTAAAATATTACAGTTTCATGCAAATCATTTTATAACAACAATATGAGTACTGGATAGTTTTTTGATTAAACTTCTTTATTTTATAAAATTACCTTTATCACTTTTGAAATGTTAATTATTCAATAAATACAAGTTTGGACTTTGATTATGGGATTTCATTTTAAAAATTTTGAATTGCTATGGAAAAATAATTCATGCGAATTTGACATTGAAAATGGAAATTTTATTTTGAAAGTGGTGATTTTCTCGCATGTTTGAAAGTGGATTTAAAAAGAAACTTTATACAAAACACTGGTTGCTAACGGCAATTCCGTTAGCCCTTGACGCGCCATGGTACACCTAGCTAGCAGGGTGCTTATAGGAGGTACTTGCCTTGTGCAATGGCCAATGCACGTGGAATGGAGGGATGGTTATTCATGAGCATCGTACTCACGTTTGATTTCGTGGCTTTGAGCTGCGTTTCGTTAGCATTACCATCATGGACTGTGTGTCCACATTTGTTTCGTAGCTTCGGCTGTGTTTGGTTACTTACCCTTGTGGACTATGTATCCATGTTTGTTTTCGTGGCACAAGCCGTGTTTGGGTTATTTATTCTCGTGGACTATGTGTTCACATTTGTTAATTGTTCTGATAAGTCCCTATAATTATGAATCTGATTATTTGGTGATTTTATATCCCATTGGTTTTTATTTAGTAATTTATTTACAAATATTTATTTCATTTATGTGATTTCTTAAAAATCAAGTGATATTAACATTTACTATGATAGTTCAATGGTTTAAGATTTTATTCAAAATTTTATAAAGCCATTTTATTCTGAGGTATATACATTTTTTTATGAAAATTGTTGTTTCTTTAACTTACATGATTATTTCAAACTTTTCTTTTTATTCATGTTAAATTATTTATTGTTAGGATGTTATTCACTGAAAAGTATTTTGGTCTCAGATAGTGTAGCTGGCGCTGTACGTCCTGCCTACCAATGATGGATTTTTGCTAAGCTAGGTGGAGATTTGTTAAGTAAATATTTATTATTGATGTAAATATGAAATTTATCTATTTCGTCATTAAGAATATGTTTAGGTGTTTCACATAGACTATAGTTAGAGTAATTATTTTATTATACATTTTGTCTATCGGTCAAAAAGAAAAAGAGGCCCTAATTATAGTGATTTCTATTTGAGAATTTTCTATTAGACTTTTTAGGGGTTCGTATTTATAGAAGGAGTTCTGGCTAAATATTTACAAAAATATTAAGACTTTTATTTGAGGGAAAAACATTAAAAATGTCCTAATTCTAATGCCAATATAATTACGACTAAAAACATAAAAAATTTTATTTAATTAAGGCTTAATGGATGTGAGTTTGTATACATATCCCGTGCCGTCACTCCTATTTTTGGAGCGTGACACCTATACTTCTCATTTAATCTCAGTTGGTCCAATCCACCACGGCAATGTAAAATTGAAGCGAATGGAAAAACAGAAATGCTTATATTTTAGTTATTTTCATCAAGGACTATCAAATGAGGGGAAACTACAGTGTTTGAAGGACTACACAAATTGGCTTGGAAATAATGATAGGATTGAAGAAATAAGGAATCATTATTCAGAAAAATACACTAATTTCAATAAGAAGAGTTTTATACGCATGATGTTGTTGGATGCTGTGTTCACCATGGAGCTATTCCTCCGGAAATTGGATGAAGAAAATATTAATGATTACTTGTTTGAGAATCCATTATTAATAAGAGCATTCAACGGGATTTGTTACTACTAGAAAACCAAATCCCATTTTTTATCTTGGGCGAACTATTTCAGCATGTACCTAATGCCCGAAGAGAAATTCGTTCAAGGTCTCTTTTGAAGGGAGAAAGATCATGTTCAAGTTTTCTTGAGCTTGCTCGCTGCTTCTTTCAAACTTATGATCCTTATCCTGTTATGACAGTAGGCGATATCAAAACTCCGACATCGAAAAAGAAGCTGAAACAGGGATGGGACAACCCAAAACATTTCACCGATTTGATTAGATATTTTTTTATTCCAGAGGACTTGGTCTATAATGAGGAGCCTACTTCAGTTATAAAGACTGCAACGAAATTGAAAAGGGTAGGGATAACTTTTGAGCCGGTTTCAGATAGATGCTTACTTGGTGCCAAGTTCTTGAAATTACCAATTCTTCATTGGTTGGGTTTCTTAGTCTTTGGACTAAAATGGTTCAAAGCTTGTTTGCAAATTCCAAAATTGAAAGTGGATGGCTCAACAGAATCTGTGCTACGCAACTTAATGGGCTTTGAGCAATGTCACTATCCTAAACATCATTATGTATGCAGCTATGTTGCTCTAATTGGTGATCTCGTTCACACAGAAAAGGATGTGGATGTGCTGGTTGAGCGTAAAGTTATTGTCCATGAACAGGGGAGCGACAAAGATTTGGCTGGCATGATTTATGTTCTTTGCAAAAACATTGTTTCAAATGCCACTTATTATGCCACTCTTTCGAGGAGGTTGAATGAGCACTACTATAGCCATTTTAACAGAACTCTTACCAATTTGGGTTGATATACTTCCCGGACTTTTGGATACTAATGGTGTCAACGATAGTCATTTTTCTGGTCATTCTTTCATGGCCTACTACCATTGACGAAGCTCTTGCAGATTTATTGTTCAAAAGATAAATTTGGACAACTTTTAATGTTATTGGTATCGTATTGATTTGTACTCTTTATAATATGTTTCTTTATGTTATCACGTAATTATATCGCTTTGCAGCCTTATATTGTGTTATTGTGAAAACAATGTGGACCTAATGTTTTTCGTCATTCAACTCTGAGTTTGCTCATTGCTTGATTGATATCATGGAAAGTTATTCTTCGGAAGGAAAGAAGCAGTTGTGGCAACTTTTTCTTTAATTTTGTTGAAATGTCTAAATAGTACATGGCTAATGTATTTTGCTCATAAAGTGATGAAGATTTGGTTTTTAATATGTATGCATGCACGCATCCATATTTGTCTGTTTGTTTATAATTGGAAAATCCCCAAAAATATTTCACGGGTATTTTGATTTTTCCAAAGAAAGAGGTATAACTTCATAAAACTTTCAGCTCTATGTGTAGAACAGGTCACTTGCAATAATTAAATAGTAAATATTGAGTAATACTGAAGAGTTAAATTCTAATTTTACCCCTAAACTCTTCTTTTTTTCTGTAGACATGATAGGTCCAATTTATACATTACTTATATGTTTTAGCTCTCAATTCGAAGTAATTATGGCATAAAATATATGGAAAACAGATATATTGCTTCACTAAGAACTTTATATGCTTTGTAGAGAAAGGGAGCTAAAACAGAACAAAAACACACTAAAGAGAAAGAAGAATCACACCTCAGGTTACGTCCGAACGTGGACAAGGCTGAAGGACACCTTTAACGGATGAAGGTCTCGCTAGAAGTAGTGACGTCTCGGGTTAAGACCGTTTGAGGACAAGCTTATCGTAAATCTAAACTGCTCGCTGACAAGCCCAAGCTCCTTGGAGAAACTTAGTTGCCTCTGTTTCAAATCATTCGTGGATGAAGACAGCATGAATCTTTACCGGTCATGGTTGTAACACAATCTCTCCTCTCGCCCGCCAATGGATGACTGAATGGATGAGAGCCCTTCGTGCTTCGATTACGAGTGGAACGTAACAAATTAAAATAAAGACGAGCTTGATCGACTAGTCACAGATGTGAACGTAGCAGCTGTAGCATCGATCTTTTAAATGAAATATCTCATTTATCTAATAAAAATAGGCTTGGGCTGAATAAAACCCTAAGGAGCCCCATTTTGATGATCCAAAATCACAGGTAAGAGTATGGAGGTAGAGTATGGTTTCTGAAAAAGTTTTTCTAAGCCAGGAGCTTTCCTTATTCTTTATTCTTCTTCTTATTTTGTTTATGCATGTCTTTGTTTGGTGATTTTTCTATTGATTCCATGAATTCATTCTAAACCCCCAATCAAGGTAGGGAATAGCCTAGATAGGATGGATTTCACTCTTTTATTTGGCTCTTTTATTTTCCCACTGAGCATAATTTCTTGTCAGTGAGAATTACTACTAAAAACTAGGCAATATATGGTGCCCTTTATATAATGATTATTGAAAAAACCATTATATAGTGGAGCCAGGTTTGGGGATTAGAGACTATATAGAGGTTATATTATATAATCATTATATAGTCTCAAAGTCTAAATAGTGGTTACTGAGTAAAACCGTTCTATAGTTTTTTTAAAAAAAAAATTGCCCAAAGAATATATAACAGTTGTTTACAAACAATTGCTATATAGTCTTTTAAACTTTATAGCGGTTATTTAAGTAACTGTTATCTATTACATTATTTTTTAATATTTAAATGTTAGAGATTGTATAGCAGTTATTTTGAATTAACTGTTATATAGTCTTGAGACTATATAGCAATTAATTTGAAATAATTGCTATATAGGCTCGTTTAAAACTTTTCAAATAATGCCTCCATTCTATCAGACATTACATCTTCAAACTCCTCAAACTCTCTCCTCCTCCTGCAAAACACTCCCCTTCTTCATGAAAACCCTTTTCCGGCAGTCCCTTGTCATTATCCACCATCGTTAAGCATTGGATCACTGTTGTTTTCCTCAAATGTCGGTTTCTTGATTTCTTTCAAGTTTTTGGTCATTGGGAGCTCGTAGGTCTCGTCCCTTGCTTCTCTTCTCTCCATCTTCAATATTCTTGTATTATGTATGTGATTTTATCCTAAATCTCCTTCCTTTATTATTTTTATTGAGGTTTGATGTTATTCTTTTCATGGTTGTTGTGTATTTGCTTGAGATTTCCTCCATTGTTGGTTCTCTGTTTCTCCATTTGTTTTCTTTATATAAAATTGACAATTTCTTTAATGAATTTTCTTGATTTATATGTTCAAATTACTTGCCTTACTGAATGTACATTCCCTCTGTTGGTATTATTATATATGATAGAATGAATTGAATTAATTGAATTCTTGCTCTGGATTATGGAGTTTTTTCATTTACTTTTTTTGATATTGGATTGTTCTTTGATTAATTGTTTGTTATTGGTTTTTGAATAATGGTGATGTGTTTTTCTATTTTCCTCACTTGTTTTAAATAATGGGTTACCGTCTTTGATTTTATTCTCTATAAATGGTGTTATGATTTTGCTCTGTATTTGTTCTAAAAAATGGGGCATTATTATGCTTAGGAAAATTCATTTTTATATTGTTATGCTATTGAATTTTTTTAAAATTATTGTTTCTATATAGGTATTTTAAATTAGCATAAAGAGAGGGCATAAGTCCTGAGTTATGACCATTTTAAATCAACATATTGCCAAAATTTGTGCCACCATCATAATATAGTGTCAAAACCATTTTTCCACCTCACATGAGTTCTAAAACAAACTCACTCACCCGCATGCTTGCACACATACACACTCTCTCACACACAATTATATAATTACACATTTATAAAACCTTATATATGATCCAACAAGTTAACAAGTAGGGTCAATTATCTAATTACCCCAACTTTTTTTTAACTGAAAAGGGTTACCCATGGATTTACATCACTTCTCAAGTCTCATCAAGCTCAAGTAGGCTCCAAACAACTAGAATCTACATTATAAGATGTTAATCATTAATTATTAGATAGAATATAGGCATTTGTTAGCTTAATCAAGCTACCGAAACCCCTAATCTTTATTGTTGACTAAACAAACGCCCTAACCATGTTCCATTAGCTTCATTTAGCTTCTATGAAGTTAGATAACACTAATTTAAAACCCACATTAGTCCCACTATACAAATTTGAAGCTAGGGTTCGTTCAAACCCTGGAGCCTAACTTCAAAATGCCATAAAACCACCATCCTTGGGTATAGAACGCTAAATTAACTCTCAATAACCCAAACAAACTCCATATGTTTTTCCAAACAATTCACAGAGGTGAAATCATCATCCCCTTTCCCAAAAACAATAATGAAACATGGGTAGAGGGAGAAGAGAGGGAAGGAAAAGGTTTACTTTAGTGTTTCCAAGCTTAAATCCCCTCTAAATGATGATTCTAAAACAAACCTTAACTCCTTCATGTTTTTGCTTCTCTCATCTCCCTTCTCTATTACGTCGAACTGATACGCATCTGGGAATTTAATATTATGTTCACTAGTTATTAAAAACCAATGGGTAAAGACTTCACCACGTCAATTTTCTAATATCAGACGTCGTATGTCTTTTAAAACTAAAGAGTTGCATGGCACGGCTCTTCAGTTTTGCAGATGTCCTTTCTCTTCACTAAAAGTCTAAATTTGCTCATCAACTCATACCGTCACTAATCACAAACACTGTTCACATTGTCAAGTATCAGGATTTTTTTTTCTATTTTTTAGGTTGCATTTTCTTCTCCATAGATTCCAAGTATCATTGATGTTTTATATTTTTTTTCTTTGTTTTATAAAAAGTATAGTGGATGGTTACATATATAGATATGAATTTTTGCTGTTTTAATTTTTTATATATTTCAATATAATTATTTTCTTTATATTTCTAGATAGAAAAATTTTGTGATAAATGGCTGGATAAAGAAATGAAATTTATACTTGTTTGGAGGAATTAAATTTGTTGTGATGATTTTATTATGATCAATGTTGCTAGATGGTTTATATAGCACAGTTATGGCTTGGGAGTTTGAATTGAACTTAGCATGATGAGAAGCAGCAATGAGGACTTATCTGCCACCCATGGCCTACACACTTTCGGAAAAGGAGGAAGAAAGCTTCTATAAGTGTTTACATGATATTAAAGTGCCCCAAAAATATTCTTCTAATGTGAGAAATCTTGTGTCAATGAAATATTTGAACTAATAGGCTTGATAAGAAGTCCCCCGTATAATCTAGACTTTACCAATCCATAAACATAGTATCATATAATAACAATACAATATTAGAGTTAAAGCTCTTAAATTTGTTTTTAAAAATATAGGATCCCGACTTTATATAAAATAAGTTCAAATAAAAAGGGCTAACGGAACCGCAAATGCTATTCCCATGACTCAAAGAAACAATTATTTTCTTGAAAAATGTGTCATGTGCTGCAGCTTACACCATATGCGACGTGGCATGTGGCATAGAGCAGCGTGTTTTAGTTGTATTGTGGCTTGCACACCATGCACCACGATGCATGTATTAGATTCTATTGTGACGGTAGAATTTTTTATATGAACTTCTACCGTGCACCATTTTGAAGCATCCACATGAAGCTTATAACATAATCTATTTAGTGAGACAAGTTTGGACACAATCCAATGGTCCAATTTAGAATTGGACACCCAGGTGCAAAAAGTCACTTTTTCTTCTAAGACTTGCACCCTAAGAGTTTAGTTTTCATTTCTTGTTCCATTAAACCACTTTAGGCTTTGAACCAAGTCCAAAGGACTACACACACCTGACTAATGCATTACATCATATATATCACATCACACACATTTTGACCTCTCAATGCCACATTATACACTTGTGGTCTTATATGAGGCAATACA